TGAAAAAAAAAGTTTATTAAAATGACTGTTTCATTATACGTACAATTCAAAACATAACCTCAAATTTCGGATGTCCCGTTGGTGAAACACATAGATTCTATTGAAATAACATGTACATTTCACCATTGGGACATCACGTACCATTATTGGGACATGCGTTCTCAATGGTGTTTCACTTTAGGTACAACATGACATAGTAAGTTTTTATTAAATTAAAATTATTTCTTGTTAAGATAAAATCAATCAAAAAATGTATTTAATAAGTAGGCAGCAAAATATATCAACAAGAGTTTAAATGCTCATGTTATCTTCTACATGTAATTTTGTATGAATTTTAAAACAAAATTTCGCCAAAAAATCTTTCCAGCATTGGTACTTTTACCTTACAAGAGACTTGTAAGACAAAAGTTTTTTTTAATGGTAGCATGCTGCAAAAGCGTTAAAAAAAGTTTGTCAAAAAATTTGCGGTTTGACGTTTCCGAATTGGATAGTCATACAAAGTTGCTTCCCTGCGGTGCGCTTTATTCGTCTTCTCTTTATTTAACTTTTACCTTTTGGCCTACATCTCATTCTATTCTCGTTTTATTTTTTATACTTTATTCACAGTTCGCGTCTCTTTGTATGTGTATTATATGCATCACTTCATTAACTTTTCTTTATTTATTTATTTAAGTAAACGTACTTACTTCCTTGTCACGCTAAATCAAAAATCGCTCAGCGATTTTATTGTTACTTCCGCCTGTTTGCGATATGCAATTATAAAATAAAGAAAAGTTTATGACATATTATTTATACATATAAGCTACATAACACGTTTTAGGTAATAAGTGACCGGCTTCGTAAGGGCTGCAGTACGATGAGCCGTCCAAAACCTGACGGAAAACAAAAGCACTTGACATACGACGCGTATTTGGTAAGCTGATGGAGTCGTGAGCGTTTGATAATAATGTCTACAGCCATGAAAAACTATAACATTTTTTTTTATTTCCGTCGCTCACGCAATATATATCGCTTTTGTCTTTTTTTTAATTTATTTTTTTCTTAATACAAGTATTAAGGTAAAAGTACCAATTCTGGAGCACACTTTTTGAATTCTGTCCCAATGGTGGAACAGACAATAACTAATAAACGTTTAAGAACTTTATCTTAAAAAAATTCATTATAGATCTCTAAAGTGGTGTCTTATCACATCCACAAAACTTATCATCTATTTTCAATTGCATTACAATGAAAAAAAAAGTTTATTAAAATGACTGTTTCATTATACGTACAATTCAAAACATAACCTCAAATTTCGGATGTCCCGTTGGTGAAACACATAGATTCTATTGAAATAACATGTACATTTCACCATTGGGACATCACGTACCATTATTGGGACATGCGTTCTCAATGGTGTTTCACTTTAGGTACAACATGACATAGTAAGTTTTTATTAAATTAAAATTATTTCTTGTTAAGATAAAATCAATCAAAAAAGGTATTTAATAAGTAGGCAGCAAAATATATCAACAAGAGTTTAAATGCTCATGTTATCTTCTACATGTAATTTTGTATGAATTT